TGCTTAGCATAAAGCAGTTGGTAATTGGGGGACACATCCCAGCGATGCTTGAAGGCCGGCTGACACAGGGCTGGGCTGGGGTCCCCAATCTGCTTCCCAGCCTAAAGGGAGGGAGGGGACCTGTTGGACGGTGGGACACTTCGTTTCTGCTTGCAAGACTGTTGATTGCCCAAGAAGGCAAATGGCCCTTCCCAACATTTCCCATTTGAATACATGAAAATGTGAGTTGATTTTGGCAAGGTGAAGCTCGGTCACGGCCAGAGAGATGGTTTTGTCGCCCGAGGGTGAGGCCAGGTGGGGAGCAGCTCCGGCTCTGACATCCTGCTGCATGCGAGCCAGGTCCCGGGGTAGGATTTTCAGTACCCCGGCGGCAACTCTGGGAGCAGTACGAGAAGCGGCAAATCCAATGACTGTTTTTGTTTTCAATAAAATAAGCGAAAGCCGTGGGTATGTATGTGTGTGTGTTGGGCACGCGCGCGCGCGCTGACACCCCCCCCACACACACACATACATACACACGCACACACACACACACACACACACACACACACGGCGTGGCCAAGGATGCAGGCAGAACAGTAGAGGATTCCGCGCAGAACTGGCCAGACAAGGCGGTTCCGCGGATTCCAGGACCCCTACCCAGGGGAGGCGCACGCCTATGAGTTGTGAATTAATTCCCTCTTTAAAGACTTACTTGTGAAAGGGGAGAGGGAGGAAAGAATGAGGGGGTAAAGGACCAGAGAGCGGCGACGAGGGAACAGTAGTTCGCCCTGGCCGGCAGCAGTGGGCCCCGGCGCCAGGACCCCCGCGCCCGCGCAGGTCCTTTCCCCTGCCCGGCGCACACTCAGATGGCCAGGGCCAGGCGCACTCTACGCTTACAGCGTCGGCCTTCCGAGCTAATAAGCTGAGCCAGGTCTCAGTCGGGGTCGGCTTTGAACCGAGTTAAAGACCACAGGTCTGTAGTTTCACTGCGTCTGATTCTCTCTTGCAGGAGTAGGATTTAAGCTTCTTATCTGCGTGGGGGGTGGGGACCGCGGAGGAACTCGGACCACCCGGCACTGAGCTGGACTGGGCCCACCCAGCCCCTCCACAGGATCTTGACACAGACGGGAAGGTCTGCAGAGGAAAGGGGAGAGAAGAGAGCGAAGCCCTCGAGGAACTGGCGGGCCACCGCAGAAGCCTGGTGCCCCAGGCCCTGCTCCTGCCCACCCTGAGGTCTCTTTCAACTGGGTTCCTGCGCCCCAACAGGCCACCAGCTGGGCCGGAGACAAAAGTCTGTGGCCTTCTCTTCAGTCTGCCTCTGACCTGCATTCTGTTTCACCTTAGGAAGGGCTCTTAGAAAGCTCATGCTGGGAAGGGCAGCCGAGGCAGGCGAGCTCCATTGCTGGACCCTGTGGCGCCCCTCCTACAGCCAGACCCCGGAGCGGGGGGCGGGCAGCAGGCCCCAGGGCGCAGCGGGAGCCGCTTCTGGGGAGGGCGGGGCCGTTTCCTGGGCTCCTGGCCCCTGGAGTCCCACGCACGCACCCCATGATCCAATCACCCTGGCTCACTCCACCAGAGGAGCCCACCCTCCCGGCTACCTAGGCCGCTCTGGGATAGACCCACAGACACGTCCTCCTCCCAGCAAGTCTGGCCCGGGACGCCCCAGGAACTGCCACGTGGCTACTTTCGTGACTCCCGCCCTGAGTCCACTCACCCTCCCCAGAGCTGAAGATAGGCTTAATTCCCCTGAAAGCGCAGCATAGTCTTTGCAAAGCAGTTTTGCAATAGCGTTGAAGGCATATTTGGGGAAAGAGATTGTAAATGCACACGGTTGGGCAGTTCTACGGTATACCTGGCTGCTAAATGGCCAGCAGTCCTGAAAAAGCAGCTTAATTTACATAAGCAAAGACCCAGATTCATTTTGAAACTTCAAAGAAACTAGCTGGCATTTGTTACATTAAAACCTCACCTCCCGAATTTTAGGTGCTTAGGAATTCCACTGAGATGAACAGAGTGGAAGCTAACCGAAATGCCTGCTGCCTTTCCTTCGTGGCCTCGGGCGACTCTAAAGACCAAAATCTCTGCTGTGGGACAGGACGCGTGTGGGATTCAATCTAGTCTCACCTCGAGTGTTCGCCTTGGGCATCTGCGGAAAAATCCAGCGCTGTGTTTCTACGACAGGAGGCGCTGTGTTCGCGGGAATCCCTCCGGCCCTGAACCCAGGAACTTTATTTATTTATTTATTTATTTATTTATTTATGTCTTTTAAAACAGGGTCTCACTACGCAGTTCAGGCTGGCTTTGAGCTCACTTTGTAGTCCAGGCTGGTCTTGAACTCGCAACGATCTTTCTGCCTCAGATCACCCTACCCCTCCATACACACATCCCCGAGCGCTGGGAATACAAGCCTAAACCACCCTCCCAGAACGAAGCCGGCAACTTTAGAGCCAAGCAAGACTTTAAAACCGGCAGTCCATTCTGCGCCATCAGTGTCGAACTTTGAAGAAATCTGGGAGAAACTTCCATCGCCAGGGATCTTTTTTGCTCTTTTGAAGTTGACTTTTTAAGAAGAGTCCAAGTAGGTTTGAAAAAATGAACTAAGAGAAAATTGGTTGATATTTTAATTGACTTCCTTTAAAGTGACAGCGGCTTTTCCCCCCTTAAAGCATTGACTTTTTGTGCACTATAAACATTATTGCAAAGTTGTTACAACCCATAGAAAACATCTTAGTCGGGCTTGTGCTGTAGGAGAGCCAGGAGGGCGTTGGAGAGATCACCCACGGGAAGGAACAAGGAAGTTAGCACTGAAAGTCCCCGACCAGACTGAGGAAGCTAAGCATCCGTGTACTTTACACTAGAACTGAAGTCCCGCTGCTGATGGGAACTTTGCACAAGAGAATTGGTTGCTGACACACATTCGCAGGTCCATTTACACAGTGAGGGGACCAACTTGTAGACACAGGACCAATCTGCAGTTGGGGAGGGTTTTTGCTAAATTCCAGGTGGGTTTAATTTCACTCATTCCTTTCCTCACAAAGTGATGTCCCCCTCCCCTTTTTGTGCTCAAAAACGAATTGTAATCCAATACTTTTTATCTTTTTTATTTCCTTAACTGCACATCCTCACCTTCTCTGTTCCCCTGCTGACTTAAGAGATTTGTTTGGTTCAAGGATTTAACGTGATTCTCTTGTTAGATTTCAAGGAAGAAAGATTTAAAAGAACAAAGCACGCGGGGGGGGGGGCAGGAATGAGGTATCTATTTGGAAGACAAGTTAAAACATATTTCTTAAAATGAGATTAATTGCAATTTAAACTTTGCAAAACAAGAATACATTGCTGGGTCTTAGCCTCTAGATTTTCTTTTATTGCTATTTAAGGAAACAGTGATTCTATAAGATAGTACAATACACACATGGTCAATCACACACACACTCAGAAATACACTCACACATACTCAGAAGCAAACATCCAGTCACAGTCAGACGCACATGCACCCATATCCCAATCTACCACCAACCCATCCCTGCCATTCAGTCTGGTCTCTTTTCCCAGGATGTGTGAACAACCCACTACTTTAGCTTCTTAGGAATCAAGAAGCTTTGCATGGAGAAGAATTTCCCAGAAAATTCAAAACTGGTTAGGAACCAAGCAAGAGCCTGAGTCCTACCCCACCCCTTCCAGGTCACAGACCTGACCAGGCACCACCGGCTTGGGCCTGGCTCTTGTTCAGCCACGCAGATGCCTAGCGACTCCACATTTGCTCTCCCAGCTAACTCGCGCGTTTGGGGAGATGTCCCCTCCCCCTGACCTTTCCCTACCAGAAACCAGAGGGTCGCTTTCAGCTCAGTCTCCAAGCCTGCTGACGGGGGTGGGAGGAGGAGCCCGGGAGAGGGAGGACGGCCTGACTTGGATCCGCCTGCCCATCTTACAGACACCTGCCCTCAGTTCCTTCCTCTTTATGATCGCTGCAGATGACAAGGGGAGTGGAGTGGACTGAGGCGGAAAAAAAAGTTATGTCATAAAGATATAAAACGGTGTTGTGACTCACCTGCTGTTAGCCGCAGGTACGAGTTTCGGGGCAGCGCCTCCGCTCTGCTAGCCAGGAGCCCGGGTCGTCCTAACGTCACTCGGCTGGGCTGACTCAGATGACCGGGTTTCTAGTGACGAGGCAAACCCAGGGCTTTTCCCCTTTTCTAGTCTAAAGCCCGGGGGCTGGAGGTCCGGTATCCTACAGTCTCCCCGGGTTGAACTTCGGGTCAGCAATCGGGGTGTGGGGGGGTGAAAACAGGCAAAAGAGCTGGAAGGGCTCCGGAGGCGGCTGCAGTCCGGTCCAGAGGGTGGCGACGGCTAATGCCTCTGGGGAGGGACCCTGAGGTCCCTGAGCACTAAGGATTGCAGAGTTGGGGCTCAGACACCACCGCCCCGACCGGTGCTGGCTGTGCGGTTCCCTAGGAGAGTCCCGGCCTGCCCGCCCCGCCCCGCCTATTTTTCTTTTTTTCCTTTTCCAAAGGGGGTTACACACACACACCGCCCCGTTCCCTCTTTCCCTAGCCTCCGGGCTTAAACCAATTACACTGCTTTGCAAACAGAGTGCGGGCAGGTCTGGGGGAGGGGCGCGGCGGGAGGGGCGCGGGGAGCGCGCGGCGGCGGCGCGGCGGGGCGGGAGGCGCGGCGGCCGGACTGGCGGGCGGGCGGGCGGCCGCCTCGCAGGTGCACCTCGGGCTTTGTAGGTGCAAGCGTCTTTGTGCGGCGGACAAATGGGGAGAGGACGAGGAGGTGGGCACTCGAGCGACGTAAGATCCACATCAGCTCAACAGCACTCGCTTAGCAGAGGCCGCGCGCTCACTTCCCGCGGAGGCGCTCCCGGGCGCCGCGCTGCGCGGCCGCCTCCAGCCCCCGGCGCTGCCCCCACCCGCCGCGCCCCGGCCGCCGCCGCCGTGCACGCCGCGCCCCGCAGCGCCCGGCTTCCTCCTGGCCGCGGCGGCGTCGGGCCCGCGCGGGCGCTCGGGTGACTGCAGCGGCCCTGCTCCCCTCCCCCGTCCCGCGCCCGCGGCCGCCCGTCGCCACGCTCAGGGCTGGATGGTTGCGGCGGACAAGGTGGCTCCAGGATGTTAGGGACTGTGAAGATGGAAGGGCACGAGAGCAGCGACTGGAACAGCTACTACGCGGACACGCAGGAGGTGAGGGGCGGGGACCCGCGTCCGGGAGGCCGAGAGAGGTGGGCGCCGGCCCGGGAGCGCGGCTGGAGCGCCGGGGGCGCCCCTTCGGTGCCGCGCTGCGGCCAGCTCCGAAAAGAGCCTTTTCGCGATTGCAAGACAGAGAGTTTCCGCAAACTCCGGGCTTTGCACAATGCGCCCGCCCAGTACTTGCTTCTTCCCTGCAGAGCCGGAGCCGGAGCCGGAGCCGGAGCCGGAGCTGGGTTGGCGGGTTGGCGGGCGGGCGGGCGGTGGCACCAGTTGGAAGCAACTCTGAGAAAGCCCGAGCTCGCCAGCCGGCGGCCTCTGAGTCCCGCCATGTAATTCGCAGGCGGCCTCTGATAAAATCGCTCAGTAGCAAAGTTAATGAGCGATTCCTAAATTTTATAAAACTTGCTCTTCAAAAGCCCTGTTTGGGGAGAAGTGTGCTCCTTCTGCTCGAGAACCGCTGGGTGGCGCTGGTGGGAGCAGAATCTTTTTCCAGAACTCGGGGGCAAGAACCTGTTTCTCTTCATTGTCCCCTTAGTGGCTCGTTCATGGGGTTTATTTTACAATGTGCACAAAAGAATTGCGAGGAAAACCAGGTCCAGACAGGACCACCACCATTTTTTGCCTGAAACCAACTGAACATTACCCTATAAAAGTTTAGTTACCGTTATTGAAAACGTTTATTGAAACGGCCTTGCATAATCTTGGGAAGAAGAAGGAAAAATAAACTGCACAGTAAAATAAACTCCACCACTTGAAGGCGGCAGATAGAAAAAAAAAGTACAGAACCAGGAAATATTTTCATGACAATTCATTTATTTGGATTCATACATTCACAGATTCATCTATCAGTTTACACACTGTGGCTTACAGGGTGTTCCAATTTGAATCTATTTGTCCAACAATCCCTTAGTTTTTAAAAAATGAAATTATACTTGTTGATGAACATAAATTTAAGGACATCATTATTCTCTACTTAATAATCAGAAAAGTAGTTTTTAATATTTCTGGGCTCGGTATTTTTAAAAATACGTAATGCATTCCCAAATTGCTGTCCATAAAGGTTTTTACTTGCTGATGGTTTTTAAAAGGAGCTCAGAACACTTCCAGGGGTTTAATTCTGATGCAGTCTTCTTGACTCGGCAGTTAAGATCCCTATCGAAAACGGCTTCTTCCTCATTTAAAAGTGAGAGTTAAGAAGTAGAATACCACTAAAGAGAAAGTAAGTCGAGTTTGATTTTGAAAATTTGAATTATTCAAAGCTACTCGCATAGGTAAAAGGCCAGACTTTGAAATGATCAGTTACAACATTATCAACACATGAGGAGAAATAGATTGTTGTGACAAATTGTGTCACCAAAATTTTCAAGCGTTAGGGAACTGAAAATAGGTAATAAAATTAATGTAGGGTTTCGAGTGGTTTTGCAGAGGTGTACATGCAAAGTCCTGTTATGTTAAATTTTATGTAGTGCGTTGATAATGTTATGCACCCCTCCCAGTCCCTTTTGTTAATGTTTTTAGGATTTTTTCCCCAAAACTTAACTCCTGAGTTCACTTCCTTTTTAATATTACCATTGCTACTAGCTGGTGGAAAGCACTACTTCTAAATATAACGAACAACAAAAAAACCATCATTTGGTAAAAACTTCTGAGACAACAAAGCCAGTTATTGGGAAATGCGTGCTGAGGTTCTGGGGTCGGGGGCAGGTGGCCACGGATGATTTTAGCTCTATCAAGGGAGGTTTCCTGTGTCTAGGGGACCTGCTTGCCTCAGGCAAGGTGGGGACAGAGATGGTACCCTGCTGCTCAGAGGAACCCACTGTCCCTTTAGGGTGAATGAGTTAGGAGTTAACTCTGTTTTTGGAGTTTTAACCAGCCCCCCCCGGGGGGCACTTAGCCTTGGCTGGTCTGGGGGGAGGCTTGGGATACTGCCTGGCATGGAGAGAGGAGGTCATGAAGGGGCCCCCAAAGTCTGGCCAAGCCCAGCCTGTAAGGCACATCCTCTCCGGGACCTATTTTCTGGGAGCACTTGTCTTTCAGGCCTGCAGAACTAGAATTTTCACCCACGTTTTCTCGGACTGGAAAGGGAGCCTAACAGCTGGGCCTAGGAGGGATGGGGATGGGAGAACAGAAGACCCTTGCGTTTTGGAAATGCTCCCTGCCTCTCCGGGTTTCTGGGGGCTGCCACCCTCCTTTGCTCACCGCTAACCCCTCCCTTCGGTATCCCCGCTGCAGGCCTACTCCTCCGTCCCGGTCAGCAACATGAACTCGAGCCTGGGCTCCATGAACTCCATGAACACCTACATGACCATGAACACCATGACCACGAGCGGCAACATGACGCCGGCTTCCTTTAACATGTCCTACGCCAACCCGGGCCTGGGGGCCGGCCTGAGTCCCGGTGCGGTGGCCGGCATGCCCGGAGGCTCCGCGGGCGCCATGAACAGCATGACGGCGGCGAGCGTGACGGCCATGGGGACGGCGCTGAGCCCGGGCGGCATGGGCGCCATGGGCGCGCAGCCCGGGGCCTCCATGAACGGCCTGGGCCCCTACGCAGCCATGAACCCGTGCATGAGCCCCATGGCCTACGCGCCGTCCAACCTGGGCCGCAGCCGCGCGGGCGGCGGGGGCGACGCCAAGACCTTCAAGCGCAGCTACCCACACGCCAAGCCGCCCTACTCCTACATCTCACTCATCACCATGGCCATCCAGCAGGCGCCCAGCAAGATGCTGACCCTGAGCGAGATCTACCAGTGGATCATGGACCTCTTCCCCTATTACCGGCAGAACCAGCAGCGCTGGCAGAACTCCATCCGCCACTCGCTGTCTTTCAATGACTGCTTCGTCAAGGTGGCGCGCTCCCCGGACAAGCCGGGCAAGGGCTCCTACTGGACGCTGCACCCGGACTCCGGCAATATGTTCGAGAACGGTTGCTACCTGCGCCGTCAGAAGCGCTTCAAGTGTGAGAAGCAGCCCGGGGCCGGCGGCGGGGGCGGGAACGGTGGCAGCGGCTCCAAGGGCGGCCCCGAAGGCCGCAAGGACCCCTCGGGCACCGGGAACCCCAGCGCGGAGTCGCCCCTCCATCGGGCGGTGCACGCCAAGGCGAACCAGCTAGAGGGCGCGCCGGCCCCCGGCCCCGGGCCCGCTGCCAGCCCCCAGACTCTGGACCACAGCGGGGCCACAGCGACAGGGGGCGCCTCGGAGTTAAAGACTCCAGCCTCTTCCACTGCGCCCCCCATAAGCTCCGGGCCTGGGGCGCTGGCGTCTGTGCCCCCCTCTCACCCTGCGCATGGCCTGGCACCCCACGAGTCCCAGATGCACCTAAAAGGGGACCCCCACTACTCCTTCAACCACCCCTTCTCAATCAACAACCTCATGTCCTCTTCGGAGCAGCAGCACAAGCTGGACTTCAAGGCTTACGAGCAGGCATTGCAGTACTCACCTTACGGCGCCACCTTGCCCGCCAGCTTGCCTCTGGGCAGCGCCTCAGTGGCCACCAGGAACCCCATCGAGCCCTCAGCCCTGGAGCCGGCCTACTACCAAGGTGTGTATTCCAGACCCGTCCTAAATACTTCCTAGCTCCCTGAACTGAAGGTTTGTCTTCATGACCATGCTGGTAGCAGGAGAGAGAGAGAGAGAGAAAAAAGATCAGCAAACAAAACCATTCATACCAAACCAACAGCATAATAAAATCCCAACTTTTTTTATGCACCAATTTTTCCCAGTGCAAAGGACTGTTACTTTATTATTGTATTCAAAACTCTGTGTATATTATTACAAAGACAACAATCCTGAACCATTTTTCCTGCGAAGTTTAATAATCCACAAGTGTATATATATAATCTTACTCCTTCCATGTCCCCTTCACTTTTGTCCCTCTTTCCCCTAGAGACCCATTCTAGTCTGTGCAAGGTTTATTTAAAAGAAAGAAAAAAAAAAAGAGAAAGAAAGAAAAAGAAAGAAAGAAAGAGTCAAGTTTGTAAAATATTTGTGCTTTTTTTCCCCTCCTCCTCACCTGACCCCACTACATGAGTTTACAGGTCTGTGGCAATAGTCTTAACCATAAGAACTGAGACAGTGAAGATACAAGTAGACACTGGGGGCTCTTCAGAGTACCAAATGACAGTACTGCAGTTGTGCAGCAAGACATAAACAGATTACAAACATCAGAGCCATTTGTTTTTTAGCTTACATTTCTGATACACTCAGATGATGTCTTCAAATGAAACACACATGTATTGTATATGGACTTAATTATGCTCAGATATGTAGACATCCTCCATGTATTTGCATAAGGTTAGAGGTATTAGCTAGGTGATGCACATGGTACATTTTCAAGAGTTGCCTGACCCAGAAGTAACAAGCACCACCTCCACCTTGTCCTTTCTGACTACTTATGGTCCAGGGAATCTCTTGACAGAAATTGGCCTCCTCAAGAACTCTGCTCCTTGCTCTGCAGCGTTGCCATGGTCATGCCATTCTGAGGTCACATAAAGTAGTTTTTGTGTATGTGTATCGTTTAAAGGATTTTTCCCCCAGACAAAAAGAAATATCACTTAGCTGGGCCAGAGAGATACTATTGAGAGTTGTTTCTCAAAATCTGGTCCAAAACTCCCAGATCCTATTGATCATGGCCATTTTAATTATTGCCAATGGTGTGTGTGTCTCATCCAGTGTTGCTGCACTTTCCACATGGTGTTAGTATAGACAGACAGGTTTCATTATTATTCCTCTTTTGCTTCCTCAATGTTAATTTATTGCATGGTTTATTCTTTTCTTTTACAGCTAAAATTGCTTTAATGATGGTTAATATTACAAATTAAAATGTTAATTTTTATCAATGTGATTGTAATTAAAATATTTTGATTTAGATAACAAAAATAATACAAGATTTTAAACCGTGAAATATGTTCTTGATCATTTGCAGTTAAGAACTTTAAATAAATCAAATGTTAACAAAAAAGGATTTCTGTTATTTTCCTTCACTTAATTAAATCCAAAATGGATATTCCGAATGTAATGTTTTGTAAGTTATGGAACTTGATATAAATGACAAACAGGAAAGTAGTTTAAAACAAAACAGCTTTGTCTATGATTTAAATGAACAGGTAGCTAATAAAAAGCAATGAAAAATACTCAAAGTGGAGAGATAAATTGACATTATTCCAAGAATTGAAAATATAGAACGTTTATTCTTTGTACTGTTTACTTCATTTTAGGCATGGCCTTAAGCCTCCTATGTTTCTTTTGAATTTTTCCATGACAGCAAATATTATTGTCTCTTCTCCCCAAAACACTGTTTTTCCTTTTCTGAGAAGTATTCAAGTGAATAAAATAGCAGAGGTAGCTGATAAAATTAAGTTGTCTATCACAAAGACTCCTGAACCCTCTCTTGTTAAAAGAGAAACGAACCCCAGCCGTGGTGGTAGCTTTGGAGGGAGTGCGGGAGCGGAGTTAATTCGTGCTTGTAGGGAAGCTGTGTAGCCCCAGGACGTTTCAGAATAGCTGCTGTTTTGTGACGATATTTTTAAAAAATATTGTTTCTAAAAACATTGTTCTACAAACTTAAAGCTGATGATTTGTTTGCCTTGTAAGAAGCTTTGAAAGGCAACTGCACTCCCCCATAGTTGCTTGGGATCACAAAATCATTAATCTCCTTTGATAGCAGGCTCACTTTCCAGTCCACCTATTTCTTTGTAAGTCTTGTTCGGATTGACATCAACAATAACAACACCAGCCCATGCAGACGCAGACGTTGCCCAGCCTGCGCCCTGTGTATGAACTCCGTCCTCACCAGGGCTTGAACTTGGACAGCCTTTACTTTGATCGCACCACTCCACACTGCGGACAAGATAAAAGGAGCTGTGTGAGTCGCCTAATTATCGCGTAATTGCCTCCCCAGATGAGAGAAGGAGTGCCATGTGGCACTTGAGAAAAATCCAGAAATCTCCTTCACCTTCTGCTACTGAGAGGAGGAAAGAGAAATGACTGGTTAGCGTCATTTCAAAACTTAATTTGGAGGCCTCGTAAAGTCATTAAAAATCCCAAGAGAGGAAAAAGCTTCCAATCTCTACAGTTATTCATAGCTGCATAGCGGGTAAACAATGGGAAATTCGAATTCCAAATGCAATTTAAATGCATGAGGCCGGGCCTCGGCCTTGCCCCGCGGACTAACAAGCGCTTGGCCTTGGCGCTGTGTGTCCGCGGCATTGCCTTCCTCTTGGCCACGCTAGCGCGGAGCAGCATGCTGCCTCCACGCAACCGGTTTAAAGCGGCTTCATCCCTTGCTCTTTTACTTGGCGGATTTTTTTTTTTCTTTTTTCTGGATTTGCGGGTGCGGGGTGGCCAGGTGCCCCAGCTTTACTGCCGAGGCCACTTTGGAAACGTCTCCCAAGGCTCCCAGAGCGCGCGCTCTGCACCTCTGGGCGCTGCGCTCTGCGCCCCGCGCGTCCCCACGCGGTCGTGTCGGAGGCCGCGGCAGCTGGTTGCCAGGAGGGAAAGGGGGAGACAGAACCGCAAGCATCTCGAGGTGACAAGTGCAGTTAGTTCTTCATTGTTTGGGCATTTTCCCCTCCGAGCGAATAAATCTTCTGTTGAGCCGCAGACCTAAAAGTCAACAAAGAAGGCCGGGCGCCTTGTTAGCTCTCCGCGGCCCCCGCGGCCAGCGTGGCCGGCCGCTCCCGCTGCGTAATCCCTTCCTCGGAAGCCGCCACACACAAACGCGGGGGCGCCCGCGGCCGGGGCGCCGCGCCCCTGGGCCAGGAGGAAAACAGCTGTGGCTCGGAGCGGGGCAGGGACCCTCCGCGCGGCACCCCAGGGCGCCCCTCCCGCCTCACAGGGTCTCACAGTCCCGGAATACGAGCACTTGCACGCACCCAAGGACAGGGGCCCGGAAAGGGGTGCTCCTGGCTCCCTCTTTTAGGAATTTCGCCCGAGGTGGGGGAGGGGTGGAGAGGAGGAGCGAGCGGAGCAAACCTACCCGCGACCCAAGTGCAAAGCTCCGGAGGCCCGCGCTCGGCAGGCGACGCCTCTGGGCAAACACTCCCAGAGCAGGGGGCACCTCTCTTTGGGGGTGAATACAGTGTGAGGCAGAGGAACTGCAATTGCTATTTTCACCTTGCGTGCGGATGTGCGCATCAGAGACATTTTTAATGTAATTTTTTAAAAAAAGAAGAGGAACTTACCAGTTTGATTCTCCAGAAACAGCTCAGAAGTGTTCGCGAGCAGAAAGCAGCCTGGTCTACACGACAGCTAACACAGTATTGAAATCAAAGATAAAATTTAATTCCCCTTGTCCCTTGGTCAGTCCCCCACACGGCAGAATAAACTGGCGAGAATTATTGCGAGATGAAAACAAGATCCTATTAAAGTTCCTAACTTTTCTGTTCATTTTTAGAAGACTACATACGTTACTGATTTCGCTGAACCTGCATATTTTTCTCAAAAGTCATAGCAGAGTTGAATTAACCATAATAGAAAAGGATTCCTGAAGTGATAAAATTCTAAAACCTTGTTGTCTTGGCATTTCAAAAATTGATCTTAGTTCCATGAAAATGCTTATTAAATTTCTTGGCAAAAACTGCCGCGATCGATACAAATTCCTTTCAATGCGGACCGAAGTAGGAGACCTGGAGCCCAAATTAATTAACCTTTCCTCAGATCAATTGGTTTTCTGTTGATTTAGCAGTAATATTGTAGAACATTTAGCTATACTGTATTTTAATGTGATACCTCTATATGTCACGAGGAAAAAAACTCATTGAAAAAGTAAAATTGCTTACATTATTTTTTATTGCTTAAATTATTTGAGAATATATTTGTAAAATAACATTTTGCCTTCAAGAATTAAATGTTAATCGTTTACTTAAATTGTAGTAAGGTGTGTTTTGCAACCAAATGCAGTTAGAAGAATGCATAATTACTTCCGGATAATTATGTGAGAAAGGGAAATAAGTGTTAAGCGACTTAGAGCTAAACAGGCAATCAAATTATGTAGAATTTCTTAAAAAGTGTCCTAACTTGAAAGAACAGTTAGCATCAATAGATACCCAGGAAGATAAGAGTGTAAGAAACTGAAATAACTTGGAAGATTTTACAACTTTCCTGCTTAGAAATAGAATGTATTTGGGGAGATAAAAGATTTGTTTTTAAATTACCACACATGCAAATTTTCTTTTTCACTGATGCTGTTTTGTGTATCCAAATAACATTTAACAACAGATTACTTTGAATCTTTGGGTTTCTTTTTTCCCAACAGTTATGTTTGGGACATAAAGGTTCCACTGGTGTTTCTCTTTTTAGCTTCCAGCCCAGCCTGGTTCATTGAACTTTGCACAGCTGGGACTTCAGCCTTTACCTTCCCTCCCCTTTTCTCCAGCCTTCATTCTAGAGAGAATTGTGAGGCTAGAGAATACCCACATGCTTCTATTTTAACTTTAAAAATCCACGCATGCTCCTTTGACAAACATTTTCTTAAAATCCAGGGAGGGCAAAATTCTCACTTGCTCCTGGTGTTTTTTCTGGCTAACTTCTTCATGCCTGCAATTATGATGACTGTGACTTCGGAGCAGACAGCAAAGGGCCTGGTGAGAGTGTGCTTCCCTCCCCCGGGAAGCCCTGCTTCCCTGGCTTGTAGTCACCACCTCCTGACAGCCAGGGGATCTCTATATTCCAGTTAATACAGAGTACAGAACGCTGTCCCTCAGGAAAGGGCTTAGCTGGAACCGAGCTCACGGACTTAGAATCCAGGTGGGATCCTGGTCAAGTCACTGGTGAAATCAAGTTCAGAACCTGGCCTTTGACACCCCGACACAGTCCTGAGTGTGAGGCTGTCTTTCTACTGCCCGCAACTCTTCCTGGGGATTACACTTCAGGGGCTTTTCCACCCCCCACCCAACCCCTCGAAACTTGAAAAACAACCTGGAAATTCCCCCAAGCATTGGCTTGGGAACAACGTAGGGAACAATGAATTAAAGTGGAAACCTTCCTAGTTTCTTCGCTCCTTCTTTTATGAAATCTTATTCTTTTGCTTGTCTAATCATGTTTTTGGGTCAGTTTCCCCCCACCCCCTTGCCCCAAGGGACTGTGTTTTAACACACACACACACACACACACACACACACACACACACACACAAATATTAATGAGAAGACTGCAGGGGCTTTGCGGTGGTTTGTTTTCGTTAAATGTTTAAGAGCCCAGTATGCTCGAGGAGGGAAGAAGGCGTCCTCCTACTGCTGTTCTCCTGAGAAGCTGGTTTTCCTTGCTTGAGTCTAGTGACTGGGGGTTTGGGGAACATTGCCCTGCCTCGGCGTCCCACTTTGGAGACGTGAGCTTTACTTCTGCTGCCCTGCTGTGAACGCCCAACCCAGTAGCCACTAGGCGAGGAGCAGTAACTCCTGCTGGGTCCTCCACTGTTTTTTCCTAGGTGGAGGCCAGATCGCCAGCTCAAACCGCAATGAACCGGGTGGTAGCGCAGGAGAAGGTCCGGGTTTCCTCTCCTCTCCCTGGAGTCACGCCGCCTTCTGCCGACACGCGCTTCCTTTGTGTTATGCCTGGCTAATATATTAATGGGGCAGATAACCCGGATCTTCGGAGAGAGAAGGAGGGGGTTGGAGACGGGAGGGCGGGGAAGGGAACCGAACCATACAGGTTGCTGACCCTCGGGCCAAAGAGCTCAGAGGCAGCCCGGGGTAGGGGTAGAGGGGAGCGAACCAAAGTGAGGAGAGTTCACGTTGGGGCATTGAAAGTAAACTTAACTGCCTGCAGTAAGTTTTCCAAAAAGGTGACCCGAGGCTAGTGGCTAGAAGCTGGGCACTGGAGAACCTGACTCTGGAGAAGCTGGCCACGCCCGCGCTGAGGGGTCCCGAGTCCCAGGTTTACAGCTGTCTGCGTGGATGTGCACCTCCGTGGACTCCGCGAACTCCACCTAAGCCAGGCAGGCACTGTGGCTAAGTCCCAGGGGATGAAAAGAAGCCTTCCAAGCAGCTGGGCCTGCCGCCCCTGCAGAGGCTCCTGTTTTGCCCACCCTCACCCTAAAGGGCTGTGTGGCTCCTGGTCTGAGGTCTTAACCCATCCAGCACTGACGGAACCCCTGCACCCCTTCCCCGAGTTGGCTGGAGGGGCTGCAGACCAGCTCGAGGCCCGAGAACCCCAGCGCAGGGCGCCGGCCCGGGTGCTCTCCGGAGCGAGCCCTCCCCGCCAGACGGTGCCCGGCCCGAGACATATGCTGTCCGCAGCCCGCGGCCCGACGTGGTGCTCCTGGCCCAGGCGGTTCTCAGCGCATCAAAAGCCCGCGCTTTCTTCAGCCTTATGGGCCGCGAGGTGAACAACAATGCCCGAGCCCCTTCACTTCAAAAGCGGCGATCAGGGGAAAGGCTCCCCCAGAGATTTTTTCCCCCCTCCAGCCTTTCATTTCTAGTTTAAAAAAAAAAAAAAAAGGCATCAGCAACTCCAGGGCCGGGGCGAGCCTAATGCCCTTTGATGGGGATTGAATTCATTATCTCCAATAACACAATTGTGCTTGGCCAACGAAAAGAGCAAAGCAGGGCTGTACCCCGCCCGAGGGGCCCGGCCGGCGGGGTGGGCGGGCGAGACGCGCTCGCGGGCACTCAGACCCGCTCCTGGGTCCGGGTGCTGCGCCCTGGGCGCCCCGGGGTGCCCCCGGCGGAGCCCTTGGGGTGGGGGCGGGGTGGCATGAGGTTTGATTTCTTTTTCCTTTCCCGCTTTGCAACCACCCTCGAGGGTGGCCCCCCCCGGCGGGGTGTTTACTCGCCCCTTTCCCGGTTTCCAGCTACAGGACCTCCAGGGCACGCGGGACACAGGGGCCGCCCGGCGCCCCAGGTGCGGGCATCGGGCTACCTGGTGTAGCCCAACGCCGGTGCCGGGGCTCGAGGCCAGCTTCACTTTCAACCTTGCACAGATAAACCGGGGCCCCACAGGTGAAGCTCTTCCCACAGGTTTTCATGCCTGCCGTCGACCTAAAGCGACCCAGGAGCATGGACCAGATGGCTGGACACCCTGCCCGGCCTCCGCTGCAGAGGTCCGGGATTGGGCGTGACC